CCGGAGTCTGAACCCCCCCCCCTCCCGCCCCCCCCCCCCCCCCCCCCCCTTTGGTACCCTCTGTTTATTCGTTCGATCTTTGTCTCCGTCCTCTGTTCCATTGATCTTTTCTTTCATCTTCCTCCTTTTTTCGCCACTCTCCAGCCATGTCTTTTTTTTTTTTTTTTTTTTGCTCGATGCTCAATGGACATGACTCTGATAAACTTTACCGTCCCACTCTCTTTCATCTGCCTTATCAGCAAAAGAAGAAAAAATTAAAAAAAGCCGAGCGGAGCAGGACAGACGGTCAGTAGTGAAAGTTTCCTGGAAGTTTTAGGGCAGACACAAATATTTTCTGACATTAATGTTTATTCAGGCGCTGGCAGGATCAGGTGGAGTGACCTCAGAGCTTACTCTCAGATCACCCTAGTGGCGGTTCTGTATAGATTCTACTCTTTGTCTTTAGTGTTTGTTCTAATCCTGTTTAATATAATGGGGTGAGTAACCATAACACACACATACACACACACACACACACACACACACACAGTGGCAGCAGATTTTTCCAATAACACAGTGATCCAGAGCAGTCGTTAGTCATTGTTGTGAAGACACAGGCTGCCGTGAACTCAGTGAACTAGAAAAACAACTGGCTCAAACTCAGACTTCCTGCTGGCCGGCTCTGGAGTTGGACAGGCCCCTAATAGTACTACACCCATTTACACACACACACACACACACACTCACAAACACACATGTACACAGGGATGAAGAATGCGGGGTGACGGGCCTCAGCGTCTTCCCGCCATCCTGTTTTGTAGCCAGAGTTTATTTTGGTCGTGTGCCGCATCCGTGTTGTACAGGAAGGGGGAGCCCCACTCAGCGTGTGTGTGTGTGTGTGTGTGTGTGTGTGTGTGAGGGAAATTCAAGAGAAAATTCCTTTGTCCGCCATAATATCAACAAACCCATATTTGGTGCCGAGGGCTCGGAGCGGCGGCCCAGCGCCCGACTTTCCACCACAACACCCCTGAACTCAGAACTGTTATTGAAGGTGACGAGCAATTAAGAGAACTGGGAGGAATCGCTGGAACAGTTTCCAGCTGCTGTGGTAACGCGGCGTGTTGTCAGCGTAGTCGTTCTGCATCAGTGAAGACTGGGAGTCTGGACACTTTTGGTTTTTATATCAACGGTCCCCGACCTTTTTTTTTGGCTCGTGACTCCAGTTTGACGTCACAAATTTCTGGCGACAACAGAGACACATTTTTATGTTGTTGTTGTTGTTGTTGTTGTTGTTGTTGTTCAGTCACGTAATCACAGCCGTCCATCAAGATGAACCAGCCCTGATATTTTTATAGGCTGCATTTTCAGGACCTGCACTCGTAAAAAAAACGAAAGTGAAAGAAGGCAGTTGTTTAATCCTCTGTGTTTGTGGTCTTTTTAATCATATATATATTAATAATAATAATTAGTTTATCAGATATATTTTTTTATCAAGTACTACCCAATTGAGGCGTCCCCCATTGGAATTTCAGACGACCCCACATGGGGTTGCGACCCGTAGGTTGAAAATCACTGCTTTATATATGGATGGAGGGGTGGATACAGTAAAATCTCTGTTAATTAAAATTCAGTTAATTAAAGGTTTAAATATTGATAACATGGAGAGACATATTCAAATGTATGAGTAATATATTAAATAATACATGGAACATACAGTGTCCAGGGTTAAGTAACGCCCTGGGCCACGCCCCCAGGTTTCAACAACAGCTTTGACAATGTGATTAATTATTTCATAATTTTTTTAAAACTTTGGTAACTTTGGTAAAAAAAAACAATTTTAATTCCAGCTTCTTTTGTTTAATTTGTTTTATTTTTTTCTTAAAAGCTTCCCTTCCTACAGATGTTATTCATTTGAGATTTTTTTTAGAGACTTTTTTTTTTTGGCCCGTTCATTTTTCTATGTCAGGTTTTGTACTTCCTGCTGGCCTTTGACCTGACACCCATGCATATGGAAGTGGCTTCTCTATTGCAATGAAAACTTTTCACGTCAAAAAAAGGCCAAAGGTCACGACAACAGAGCAGCAGGGTAGATAATAAACGGGGTCATGTGCTCCAGTTTAGTTTGCCCTGCACTGATGGAAAGAAGAAAAAAAAAAAAATCAATCAATAATCAAATAATCAAGGAGCGCCGTCGTACTTTTATGTGTCGTGTCGTGGCATCGAGCCACCAGCTTCCCTGGCCCAAAGGCACATTCCCTTCTAGTTA